GTCTAAATGGAGGGTGACCCTGCTCTTTGGGCCAAGGCTGAAAAGCCAGGAGTGGAGGAGAGCAGCCACCACTGTCCACTCTGGTTCTTCCAAGGCTGGACATTTGGCCTTTTCTTGGACTTCCTTGAGCTCTGGTGGCCTGGGACTCTGGAGATTTTAGTAGGATTCCAACTTAAGGTTTCTCTCTCTCTCTCTATCTCTCTCTCTCTCTCTCTCTCTCTCTCTCTCTTTTTCTGGTTCTGGGGCTTGAACTCGGGGCCTACACCTCGAACCACTCCACCATCCCTTTTTTGTGGTCTCGTGAACTACTTGCCAGGGCTGGTTTCGAATCACGATCCTCCTGATCTCTGCCTCCCAAGTAGCTAGGATTACAGGCATGAGCAACCGGCGCCCGGCAAGTTCATTGCTTTTTAAACGCACAAGCCTCTGCTTTACTTAGAGGTTCAAGCATAAAGGTCCATCCACGGGCTAAAAGAATGTGTCATTGAAACCATATTCATAGGAACAATAAAACTAAACAGAGCCCGTTTCACCAGCATCCAACAGCAGCTTCCTATGTTGGAAGATTTCCAAGGAATAGCAGCGAGGCCCTACTGCAGGCAGGAATTGGTAAGGCGCAGGGGTATTGTGACATACTCCGCGGAAGGGCAGCCTTTCCTTTGGCCAACGGAGGCCCATGCCCATTGGGGCAAGGGAGCCGTACCCGGATGGGGCAGCAGCCTGGGGCACAGCCTTCCTGGGCCCCACCGGAGGAGCGGGATGAGGCACAGCAACCGACTGTGGCCCCGTCTATCGAGGGCCACGGCCAAGTGGTGCTGATAAGCGAGTTCTGCAAGCAGCACGAGTACTGCGTGACCCTGCAAGACTTTCTGGAGCAGGCTCCGAGCGATCAGCTCACCGGGCCCTCATCCACGGGAGCCACGAGCCAAAACAGTAGCTCCAACAACTGCGCCAGGCGGGGACCCAAGCGCTCCGGCGACAGCTTAGCGGACAGCGCCGATGCCCCAGCGGCGAAGTCCAAGCGCTCGGCAGAGAAGCCGCAGCGCGCGGAGCACAACGCCGCTGACTCGGGCAAGCGCGAGTCACCCGGAGCTCCGCCTGGGCTCCCCGGCTCGGGGACGGAGGACGTGACGCGGGGTGCGGGCGCCGGCGCGCAGCTGCTCCTGGTGCTGTGCCGCGCGTCGGCGCTGTGCACGCAGCTGCCGCGGCTGCAGCTGCTCCTGCGCCAGGTGCACGCCCAGTGCCGCCGCCCGCCCGCCGCGCTCGTCGGGATCCTCGTGCAGCCGCTGCCGGAGGAGGAGGCCGAGTCGCGTCGCCGCCTGGAGAACCTGCTCTGCGACGTCTTCGCGCCCCACAACCCGGCGGTGGAGGTGCACACGGCTGTGTTCTGCCCCGGTCGCCCCCAGGGTATCCTGGACGTCCAGCGCGCAGCCAGCCAAGCGCACAGGGTCCCCCTAGTGGATCATGGGACCCAGACGGATGGTGAGGAGACCGAGGGCGGGACTGGGCCCCAGGACGTAGGGCTCAAATACGGACTCCTGTCCCCTACTCTGTAGACCCCAGTAGTGGGCAAATCCCCGACCTCACGGACCCTGCCCTGGCTCCCCCAGGAGTTTGGGTCTCCGTTTTGCGTGGAGATGAACAAGCGTTCTTACCCCCAAGTGTGCTCCTTGGGACAATCCGTGTATGCACTGATTCCCTGCTCAGTTCCTTGGTCTCCTTTTACTCCTCCAGGGAACAATAATGACAATAAAAACGTGCCTATTGTGAGCCAGGCACTGACCGTGCCAAGGGCTGTACCTCCAATCCTCACCACAACCCTCTAAGATGGTACTTCAGTGAAGTAGCAGGCCTTCGGCAGAGGAATCCAGGCCTGTGGCCCAGAGGCCTTGGACAGAGGGCTCTTCCCTGAGCCCCCAGCACCTTCTGTCTCCAGAAGCTCCTTCCAGGGCAGCAGTAGACTGAGGAAGTGCCCTGTGGTGTGTGTGTGTGTGTGTGTGTGTGTGTGTGTGTGTGTGTGTGTGTGGGGAGGACCCAAAGCTCAATTCAGAGGTTCTGCCACCCTTCAGCTAGTGACCAGAGTGGACCAATTGATGTCTAAGGTACCACCAGCCCAAAGATGCTAGCTAGCTTCACCCATATGGTATCTGGGATCCTGGATGTCTAGGACACATCCAGTGGCCAGAACCACCAGGGATCTTGGGGAGCAGGGGGCAGCAGTTAACACCTCCAGGACCTTGTCTTGACCACGTAACTTTACATCCCTCAGACTCTTTCTTCTTGCTCCCTCCCCTAAATAGTCTACCAGAGTTTCACATGGTGGCAACTCCTGGTCAGGAAAGCCCCCTAACCTATCGACCATTCCAACTGTGTTCCTCAGCCAAGGCCAGAAAGTCCATCTTTGGTAGCAGCCCCTTTGAGAGGATTTCTCTGCAGTCCTCACTCCCATCACCCACACCCAGCCAACCTCCAGCTGTTCCCTGCTCCAGTATCCTCTTCGTGCACCCTCATTCAATTCAGGCAGGTTGCACAGAGCCCCTGCAGCAGAGGCCTTTGGTCTGGCATGCTCTGCACAGTCTGGGGTCTGCACAGTCTGGATGAGAGCAAAGACAAGGCTAGAAGTCATTCTAAGGCAGAATGTGGATGGTGTCATACAGACAGGCACTCTGGAGAGGGTAAGATGGCTTCCAGCTGGGGAAGTCCCTTGAGAGGGGTCTTGGCTGTGGGACGCATTTCTCCAGACATGGAGGGGGTGATGGAGAGGAAGGGCTTCAGCGAACCCAGCAAACTGAGATGCATTCAGGAGACCTCTGGTGATCACCGTTGGCTAGAGCTGGACACGGGTGGTGTGTGGCTTACAAGCTAGGGGCCATAGGCTATGACCACAATGTAGAGAAGCCAGGCAGGAACGTGTGCTGCCTCCCTCCCTCAGATGGAATGGAATCGCTGTCATGGCTACCAGGACATTCTACCTGTCAGTGTCTGCCCCTGTCTAATTTAAATCCATAGTTTCAACCAAGGGCAATGGTGACACCCCTCCTACCCCTGGGGAGACTTAGCAATGTCTGTAGACATTTTTGGTTGTCATGGTTAAGGCCAGAGAAGCTGCCAAACTTTCTACCCCACACAGGAGGGTTTCCCACAATAGCAGTCAGACCAAGGATGAGACCCTCAGTCAAAGCCCATGAGAGCCTGAAAATGCAATTTTGCAGAGATAAACACCTTAAGTGTTCCTCACCTGGCTGCTTCGTCCCAGGGGTCTCCCAGCCAGGTTCCCAGTCTCTCTGATTCTAAGTGGCATCTCCTCAAGGGGCCCATTGCTCCTGTCTTGAGGAAATTGCCACATCTGACTCACCTGCTCCCTGAAACTGCTTACTCCAAGATCAGCCAAAGACAACTCCATGCTACTGTTTCGAGCTTCCCCACACTTCTCATCCTTCCTGCGCCTGTGCTCTTCAATCTTTGGATTCGACGGATTTTTAACTTTTAAATTTTTAATTCATTAATTAATTTTCTGATTCCCTTGTCTTCCAGGGTCATGAAATCAAAGAACTCTGAGCGCAAATTTAGTCCAAAGAGCTTGAAAAAGTCATTTAACTTCTCTGACTCTATACAAATTCAGTTGATATTGGGTCTGTTCTTGTGTGGGGGCTCTTTTTTTTTTTTTTCCTTGTCATACAGAGAGTTGAATTCAGGGCTTCCTACTTGCTAGGAAGGCACTCTACCACTTGAGCCACCCCACCAGCTTTCTTTTGCAGTGGTTATTTTTGAGATAGGGTCTCACTCTTCCTCCTGGGTTGGCTGCTATGCCCAGCCATTGATTGAGATGGAGGGGGGAGGTCTCAGGAACATTTTCCCCAGATTAGCCTCAAACCAGGATCCTCCCAATCTCCGCCTCCCAAATAGCTAGGATTATAGGCTTGAGCCACTGTGCCCAGCCAAGCCTTTTCTGATCCTTGACAGTAGTGTTATCGTGTAGGCCGCAGGGCACAGGGTATGGTAGCAGACTCACCTGCACAGCGATACATTCACGAAAAGTTCTGTCTCTTACTGGGAATATAGTCTGTGTTGCAAAGTGTGACGTTTAAACTGTCTTTTTTTTTTTTTTCAAAATATAATCTCCTCCATCCTAAAATGAAAATCACGTAATTCAGAGAAAGATTCACAGTCTGCTTGACCCAACCAGTGTGGGCGTTGGGAAGGAGTCCGTCTATTTTTGCCAAGGTAGTAAGTTTGAGAAAATTTGCATTCTCCAAGCAGCTGATATGTTTAAGGGAGAATTCTTTGCCAAATGCAAGTGTTCTTATAAAAGTCAGGACTAATTAATTAATTAACTAATTAATGTCAGGACACACCCCAAGCTCCTCTCCCACAGTGTGGGAGGCAGACTTTGGAGGAAGCCGCAAGGCTTCTTGGAGATGCTAGAAGGCTATGGGTCATAGAATGGGAGCTTTCAAAGCCCCAAGTCTTCAGGACAATCATCTGAAACTTACTAAACGCTCGCTGAGCAGAGATGTTTGTGGGTTTGTTTAGTAACATGGAGATGGACCACAGGGTTGAGCAACTATCCAGGGTGTCCTAGAATGAAACAGGTAGCTCACGTGGACCCAGGAACACACCAGCAGAGAGATGCCTGAAGATGGTGCTTCTGGGCAGAATCATGGGGTCTGATTGTCACAGCCCACCTGTCCCCCGGCTTAGCCAGGCCTTCCAGGGAGTGGGCAGCTGCTGCCCTCTGTCCATCTTGGCAGCTTAGTTCAAGAGGAGGAAGGTCACCAGGCTGCTGCCTGCAGAGAAGACTGTCCCAGAGCCTCGGCCCTGGGAGCTCCCTGGCTTTTGTGACCTCACAGGAGGTGTGGGTGACTGTTCCCTATGGGACCTGCATCCAGTCAGAGGCCAGAGCCATACTCCTGGGGCAGAGGGCAGCCGACCTCTCTAGGAGGGAGCCAGAAGAGGAGGCAGCTCCATGTAGGTCAACGTTTGGGCTGGGAGGACCCACCATGAAGAAGGTCAAGAAGAAAAAGTCCACACCCAGGCGCCGCCGGGACTCCACCTCTCCACAGGCCAGCTCAGACTCCATGCAGCAGCCCAGCTCTGACTCCGCACAGCAGCCCGGCTCCAAGGCCACCCAGATACAGTCTTGCCTCGAGTCCACCCCTCGGCAGCAGCCCTGCCCTAGATCTACCCCACAGCAGCCCATACCCCGAGCTCTCCCGCTCTCCGAAACCTACTACTCTTCTCGGAGCCTGTTACCTTCAAAGGCTGACCCCTCCACCACCCCGCCACTCAGGAAAACAGGTGGGCACACCTGTAGCTTAAGCTGTTCCAGACTTCCTGCTGCCACCCCAAGGTGGCTGGTTCTCGTAGAGTAGTGAGGCATGGTTAGCTTGTGTTATGAGCTATGTTTGTGGAGTATGTAGGGATTTGTTGTTATTTTTACCCAAAAGACCAGACCTCCTGGGTTTTGTCATTCCTTACCATCCTGAATCTCACTGAAGACAGCCATGCATGTAAATTAACATTTAACTTGACTCCATAGTAAATCCTGCCTCATTAGGAGTCAACAGTACCATGTGACTGCTAAAAAAAAAATCTTAAACCCAGGATGCACTAATAGAAGTATATGGCTTTAGAACAAAGGAGGTGATCATGCTGCTTTACTCTGTGTCTTCATGGCTGTTCCTCATCAGAGTAAATGACTGACAAGTCCAAAGAAGATAATCCAGGATAATGGAGAATGATGGGTGGGGGAGGCAAGAAGCATTTGTGTGGCAATTTGTTGAGAGAATTGGAGGATGTCTGTCTGTCTGTCAGGTGGAAGATGTGGGCCGTTTTTCCATGTTGTCCTCAGAGGTCTGATTAAGATACCCAGATAAAATATAGGAGTCTCAGCTAAAATTTAATTTCAGATAAGCAACAAATAATTTTTCAGTATGTGTGTCCCAAATATTACAGGGGCCTCCTGTAATTTTTATTTGCTAAATTTTGTGTACCTTACCAATGGAAGACACTAGAGACAGACAGATGTCTACTCAACCATTAACTCTGTGTGGAGTGGAAAGGCTGTCCAGGGGCAGCTGCCCCCATCTCCTTGGGTAGCCAAAGAGAATCTGCATAAGCAGCAGATGCAGCAGAGAGAATTTGGTGGAGTTCAGGGAGTACGCTGTTTGTTGCTGGCGACATTTCTCAATGAGCATTACCATGTACCCAGCACTCAGCCCAGCCATTAATCTCATCCCACAGTCCTATGGGGGAGATACTTTTCTGTCTGTTTTAGAAATGGGGAAACTGAGACTCATGGATATCAAAGACTCGCTCTGAAGCAGGAACTGGTGGTGCTGAGGGGAGCCTCAATGTGTTCTCACTTCAGAGCGAGCCCTTGCTCATAAGCACAGCCAGTCTTTCCATGCCAGGAGGCCTGGGGTCTCCCCATGAGGAAGAGTGTCCTCTGGGCTTCTGCACCTGTGCAAGCCAGTGATGGGGCTCTGTGGCCCCCAGCAGGCCGTGCTCCCCGGGCCACAGCCATGTATGGGCATGAATTAAAAAAGGGATGCGGTGAGAATGCTGACTCTAAGGAATTGCCATGACGATATTTACCTGTCCAAGAACCAATCCGCCCTTGATATATGGCGATGGTTTGGGTGTTGTGTTATACGTTCTATGTATCATAAGCATCGACCACAGGGATGAGCATATCTGGACTCTGGCTTTCGAAACTGGTATTTGTAGACAGCAGAACTTTTCACTCTCAAATCTTTTAATGGCTGCGTGTGACTCACCCCCAAAGAGGACTTCCCTTTGCTTTCTTCCCAAGGAACCACTTCCTTTTGAGCCGGAGTGGGAAGGAATGTTGGAGATAAGGGATGGAGGCCCTGAATTACAGGATGTCAGTTTCTAAAATCACACCCTTCTATATGCAAAATATTGTAGCTCAGTGCAGTACAGGCCCTTGTTAGGATGGCTGGAATCCACGAGATGGACAATAACTTGTGTTGTTGAGGATGCGGAGAAGCTGGAACCCTCCTACACCACTGGTGAGAATGTAAAATGGTGCAGGGCTGCAGGTATGGCTGCACAATAGAGCATCTGCCCCTTGCAAGGCTGAAGCCCTGAGTTCAAACCCCAGTACTGCCAAAAACATTCAAAACGAACTAAGATGGTTTAGCTGTAGAAAATGGTCTGGCAGTTTCTCAGAAGAACATGGAGTTACCACATCAGCCAGCTATTCCATTCCTAAGTATAGACACAAGAAAATTAAAGGCACACATCCATGTAAAAACCTATATGTGAATGTTTATAACAGCATTATCCATAATAACTAAAAGTAGAAACAACCCAGTGTCACTCCGCTGATGAGTAGATAAACAGAATGTGGCACAAAATGCCACAATGGGACAAATATGATCAAATGCTACTTAGCAGGCAATAAGAAGACATGATGTACTGCTAACGTGCTACAACGTGGAAGAAGCTTAACACATGAGGCCAAGTGAAAGAAGCAATCCCCCCCAACACACAGATTGTAGGAAATGCTGAGAACAGGCAAACCTCTGTTGCCAGGGACTGAGAGAGGAGAAGATGGAGAGTGACTGTTAAAGGAGATGGGGTCTCTTTTCCTGATGAAAATGTGCTGAAATTAGATAGAAGTGATGGTCACACAGTTTTATGAATATATTATTAAAAAACACTGAGGGTGAATTTTATAGCCTGGAAATTATATCTCGATTTTATTATTTTTTTGTTTGTTTTTTGCAGTACTGGGGTGGAGCCTAGGACTTTGCACATTCTAGGCAAGCACATTACCACTTGAGTTACAACCCCAGCCCTTTTGGTTTTATTTTGGTTTTGAGACAGGGTCGCACTGCTACCTTTGTCCAGACTGGCCTCAAACTCACAATCCTCCTGCCACCACCTGCCAAGTAGCTTGGATTACAAGCATACACCACCATGCCCAGCTTCTGTTTTCATTTTTTAACTAAATAATAATAACAATAAAGTCTTGTCTTTAGAATCCCTTCCTCCCCATTCCAAGAAAAGTATGTGTTGTGGGCGATCTAAGCAGGAAGTATACTGAGTTTGCTGATTGACCACAGGAGCTTAGGACTGGAAGAATCTGCAGCTCTGTCAAACCTGGTTGGAAGAGAAAATTATCTGGTAGGGAATTCCCTTGCCCAGCAACAGAGGGCGCCATCTCCAAGCTCTGCTGGGATCCCATCTAGAGGAGGGTTGCAATGGGAGACTCCACTGGGAAAGGATTTCAGGACTGTAAACCAGCCTTGGTTGTCTTCTGAGTGGATCTGCACGGCATCTCGTGCGAGTGGACAGTACCTGCCTGGGTCACTTCCTGTCAATTTCATGGCAAGGGTTTTCAGTGAAAGTTACAAATGTCAAGTTGAAGTTCACTTCTGCAGTCTACTTGCTCTCGTGGCACATCCCTTATATTCTTTGAGCCTCAGTTTCCTTATTTGTGAAATAAGATAAATAGTATTCCACTTCACAGGATTGCTGTGACAATCGGATGAGAAGGATAAGCACAGAGACAGGGGACACCATACATATGTCGCGTTGACATATTTTCTCGTTTACGGTGGTGGTTGAACCCAGGCCCTTGCACTCTCTAGGCAAGCGCTCCACCATTGAGCTATGCCCTGCACTATCTCCATTTTTATCACTCAAAGGTAGCACCGGCCCGAGACACACCCCTTCCCCCATGAAGCTAGTCTCCTCCAGTGTTGGGAAGACATCACGCTACGCCTTCCTTCAGTCCTGCAACCTTAATGATGTCTTTAAAAAGCCGACGGCTTGGCCTTCTAGAACTGTCCTCCAGGCAGCCCCCTGACCCCAGGAAGCAAGTGAGCCCCTCAACTCTCTCCTTCTTTGTCCACCAGGCCCTTTGATCCACATGAGCCCCCTCTCCTGCTCCTGTGTCACCTGTGCCACCTGCCCTGGCAGCTCTACTTGCTGGCGCCGTCTGGGGCTGTGCCACAGCCGCATCTTCGACGTCCTTCTGCCTCGGAACTGTCCAGCCATGACAGGGAGAGGATTACCAGGCCTACTCACCTTCTACAGGTTCCAGAGCGAGTGCATGGGGGGCTGGAGCCTCAGGCATACAGTTCCCAGTGCCAGGCTCTAGCCTCAGGCCTTGTGGGTGATCATGAGCGACTCCCTCTGGGAGTCACAGGCCAAAAGGAAAGCCTGCCCCTATGAGTGGTCACTTCCAGGAGTTTGGCAGGGGTTCCCTTTCTGCTCCCCTCTGTGGTACCCACACATCTGCACAGAGGGGCACTGGTTTCCTTCCTTTCTGGAAAGTTCTTCTCAGGTGTTTTTGTTCTTTTCTCCATAGGAGCCCCTGTTCCTCAGAGCACCCTCCCTCACAGCCTTCCTGAATCCCATGTCACCTTGCAATTAAACAGTGGGTAGCCAGTAACCTCATTCCACAGCCCATGCCACAGATGGGACCTTCAGCTTCTTCACCTGCATTTGAATTTCCCCTGGAATTTAGTGATTAAAAACGCATCCCCTTCCGGGTAGTAGCAAGAACCCTTCAGTGCACCAGGGTAGCCCCCCAGGGTCATGTGTCCCTGGGCCGCTCATTCCCCCACACAGTCACCCACAGTCTCTGCCCTGAAGTTCCTCTTCCACGAAGCAACCATGCCTGTCCTACCTCTCCCCAGAAGACACCTGTCCATGTGGGGAGTAGGTTGAAGATGTCCCATTCAAAGTGCTGCTAGCTCAAGGGTATGGGCTGGAAGAGAGGCCTCTGTGCCCCAAGGGAGCAGTCCCACTTACGAATCCCCATGCAAGAGGCCCTCCACTTGAGGGGGTCTCACACCTCTATCCCAGGAGCACAGCCCACCGTCCCCATGCTCACCTGATCCTCCTCCCAGCCCCTCCCCTACCCAGCCCCTCTCCTGCTCCATCTCTCCCACCTATGAAGAGAAGCAAACAGATAGAGGGTGTGGGGAGACATGCAGGGAGCCAAGAATGTTCTCCAGCCTAGTAAGTCCCATCCAGGCCCTTTCTGGACCACCAGACACTTGCTGTGTCCCTCCACCTCCAGCCAGATAGTGTCATGGGATCATGTGGGTTAAAAAGCCAGCATGTGTTACCAAGGGAAACCCACTCTGCATAGGCTTCTCAGTGCTTTGATGGAAGCTGGAACAGGGTCTTTACCTTAAAATGTGTTCTGTCTGCCTGGTGAGCACATAGAAACTAGGACACGAGGAGGGAAGCACTGTGTCCAGGAGGGGTTGCAGGAATTTCAGAGCAGGACAGTGCTGTGCCTCTGTTGGGGTCAAGGTGGTCAGTGTAGTGTCCCCAAAATGTGAGCTGAATCTAAAAGGACCCTGGGATCCTCTGTAGCTTCAAATGAGAAAGGAGGGTGTTCCAGGCAGAGGGAAAGGCAAAAACAAGGTTCAGAATCAGGAAAGTGAGGAGGAAGAGGCAAGGACCCAGTCTGGGCAGGGTGAGATATGTATTCTGAATTCTGTTCAAATGTGGTGTCACATTTGACACCACATACTTCCACAACCTTTGCATTCTCCATGAAATGTAATGTTGGCTTTCGGCTTACTGTTCACATTCACGTTAAAAAGAGTTCCTATTTAACAGGCTTTTATCGAAATAGATCTTGCATTGTTAATGCCTTGCTTGCGTTTATTAGTGCACCTGTGGTGGCTGTGATCGCTATTTCCTGAGGTTCCTCATGTCTAAGATGGAGTTAAATGATAGGACCTACCTCAGAGGGTTGTCATGAGGCTTGAAGATGACAGTGGGTATGAGATGTCTAGCACAAGGCCTGGCATCTAGTACCCCAAGGGCTGCTGTGTCCGAAACCAGCTAATTCTCTTGTCTTGGAGGTCTTGCAGTAGGGATTTGTTGGAAGAGGTGGGGCAATGGGTGTTCTCTTGAGAGGAAGAGGAAGAGAGAATCCCATATTTTCCCAGAGGGGAAATCTACCCATCTGCTTCCTCCTGCCTGTGGACGGGTGCTAAAGCCTACTTCCCAACCTCTGCCTTCTCTCTGCTTTGCAGAAAACCTTCAAGGAAACCCTCCACTACTAGTAACTCACGTGCTCCAGATCCTCAGGACTGTTGCTGTGGCCCTCGGAGCTCTGGGAGCTGCCTACTACATCGCTGAATCCTTGTGAATGAGGTCCCAGGCCCAGGTCCGGCAGGTACGAGGAACCCCTGTCCCTTCTCTGGTGTCTTTGCAGGTAGACCAAAACCCCAGCCTTTCAGGGAAAGCCGAGAGTCCAGTGACTTACTCCTGGCTCAGGGTGGGCTGCCATGGCTGTCAGGCAGCCTTGGATGCTCTCAGACAATGCAAGACTCACTGAGAGGACCCTACCTGCTCCCTTGCCCTCCCCCCCCATGGCTTCCTTATTCATGAATAGTGGACAGGAGGGAAATGGGAGGTGTCAGGACAGAGGTCCCTCCCCATCTCCGGGGCCTTTCCTCAGAACTTCCTCGAAAGTGAGTCTTTTCCATTTTCAATCCTGTCTATCCTTGATGACCTAGCGCCCACCCCACCACCCCGACTCCATTTTCTCCATCATCTCCTCCTCCAGCCAGGTCCATGCTGTGTTTTGGAGGACTCTTTAGTATGCGAGTGACCCGCATTTCCAACTATATTGCAAGATCCTCCCAGTCTCAGCTGGGCTCCCTAGCCGCAGAACCTGAGGCAAGGGCTGGGTGCTCTCAGGAGAAAGGGAGAGAGAGAAGGGGGCCCAGCAGGGAGGATAAGATTCCTGCCTGATCCTATGGGACCCTGGAGCACAGACTTGCAACACAAAGCTGCTCTCCCCTGAGTATGAGGCTAGCCCTTCCACGGCCAGAGTCACTTCACTGTGTCAGTCCACATCTTCTGCTGAGGGCAAACCTTGGGGAAGGGGACAACTCTGCACTGACTGTCAGCAACCAAATTTCCCAATCCACAGGAGCCATGCACCAGCCCAGGAAGGGGGACTGGGTGGGGCACAAGAGCAGCCACAGTTATCTCACTGCCAGATTCATGTTCAATGGGTGCTTACTAAGCAATGGGGGCGGGCTGTGGGGTTCGTGGGAGGCTTTTCTGCCTGCCTCCAGACCTCCCCTGCTCAGGAAGTGGACAGAGAATGACCACAGTCAAGCATCGTGCTGGGTGGCAGTTGATGCTCACAATATCTCAAAAGCCAGCCCAGAAAATAACTCCAATGAAGGCTCAGTGTCCTTGCAGGGCTCTTACTGTCCGTTCAAGGGCCATAGGTAGAATAGTATTAGAGGCACCTTGACCTTCAAGAAGTACCACAGCAGTTAAGAGCCTCAGTTTCCTCATCGGTGGCTAGGGAAAGGAGGAGTGACCTTCTCTTGGGCTGGTTGAGAGTGATGAGGGGTTTTCAGGACAGAGCTGGTGGCTGGCAGGTCTTGGTCCTCTATCTCTGTGGTGCCTGGAAAGGAGTGGCCTTGGGGTTATAACTGGCAGGTTCTGGCCACCTGAAAACAGGGTGTTAGAGATACATTCTTAACTTCTCTGACAGCTGGTGTCATCTCTAGTGGGAAGAATAACAGCCTCCTCCAAGGGCGACGGTCACGAGGATTCAATGAAGGATGTGCAGAGAGGTTCCCGTGCAGGGCTGCTGCCAGGGTAGGGCTGATGGTGGCCCTGGCAGGGTGAAGAACATGCCTGCACTAGTCATTTGGTCTTCAAGACTCCTTGCAGTATTGCTGGCTTCTAGTGAGCGCACTTGGGGGGTCACATGACCCCTTGAGCATCTAGTATTCCTGGGGCCAGGGGCAGGGTCCTTAACTCCTGACAGCTTGTTTTCTTCTCATTAAATCGAAATAATAATAGCACATCTCTCACTGGGTTGTTGGGGAGACTGAGTATAAAAACCCCAGTAGAACACAGAACACAGTGCCTGGCATAGGGTAAGCATTCAACATAACGTCAGCTTCACCATTGTCATCACTGTCATCTTCCCTTAACTCAATGTTCCCCAAACGTTCCTAACTTTCAACACTTGTAAAATCACTTCATATTTCCTTCAGATTAGCTTTTTAGCTTAAATGCATCTATTTTTAAAAAGACAGTTAGGCTGACCGTGAATAGAAAAATCTACTGCTTGTCATAAAAAGACTACAGTGAATCCAAATTCTCTGAAAACAAAAAGTCATGGAACTAACTCTAGCGGATAGCCCCGAACACCTTTGTCCAAAAGGTGTTGGACAAGTGTTGGATTCAGAGGGAATGTCTCAGTGGAAATATAATGGACGGGGTGAACTTGTTCAAGGTACCTGTACACATGTATGGAATTATCACAATGAAATCTCCTTGTATTACTAATAAAAAATTAAATAAAATATTTTTTTAAAGGAGGGGGCAGCTACAACTGAGGCTCCCTCCCTGACCTCAACTGGGGCGTTGTTACTCTGTGCTCCAGAAAGATCTAGCGCCTAGTCGTCTAGGCATCTCAGTGTCCACCAGGGGTCTCATGCCACCCATGGTGGGGTTGGCATATCCCTGGGCCCTGGGGTGGGTGCATGGCAGGGAGGAGCAGAGGAGGAGTGGGGGAGTGGTTGCTGGAGAGGAGGGAAGGTGAAGCAGGGCATGGGAGGAAGGGAGTACAAAGGAAGTGAGCAGAAGTGAGCCCTGGGCTTGGATTCAGTCAGCTAGAGTCTGGTTTTCTACCCTCCCCACCTCCACTATGACTAAAGTCTGCACTGGTGACAAAAAAGTCACCCAGCCTTCCCACTGAATACATTCTCACTACATCCCAAAACTGTGAGTGTGTGTGTGTGTGTGTTGGGGGGACAGTCAGGTGATTCCGTGGGCTCAGGTTGGGAATATCACTGCATCAGCTAGGCAGTGTCACAGCCTCACACTGCTCCATCTCTTCTTTAGGGTGACTCTCTTGGCCCACCCAGGGGTTGGCCTCTGACTACTTCCCTGGAGGCAAAGTTAGGGTGCAGGTCTCTAGAGGCCAGATGAAACCACCCAACCACCCAGGGGGACTGTTGCCGTCCTCTTAAACCTCCCTGGTGCAACCAGAGAGGGAAGAAGATGGTGCTACCAACCTGCCTCTTGCCAGTCACCTGAGACAGGGTTGATTCCAACCCCTGCAGCCTATGTCTAGTGGCTCTGATGAGATGACCTTTCCTCACATGACCTGCCACCTGTCCAGTGACAGGAAACCAGTGTAGGGATCAATGGAAGCATCCGGCTGTGAGATATGTTTTTTGGTTGGTTGGTTTGGTTTTGAGACAGGATCTTGCTATGTAGCCCAGGCTGACTTCACACATTCAACCCGCCTCAATTTCCAAGTAAAGGGATTACAGGCATACAGCCACCGTTCCTGGTTTTGAGACATGTCTTAATTGAACTTAGCAGGTCCCAGGGTCTTCCAGAGTCATCTTGCCATGGAGGCTGTGAAGTCATCGCCTTGTGCCAGTCCATGGTGCTGTGGGCTTAAGGGCCAATGAAAGCAGCAAGGGTCAGGGGTGGCCTTTCTGAGAGCCTGGAAGGTTGAGTTAACATGGACAGATCAAACCAGTCTGGATCTCCCCACCCCTCCCAGAGCTGGGACTGGGGTGCTTCCCTCCAGCCAGGCCAAGTGTGTATGGGTCCAAACCAGAAGAAGCTCCTGCCACCAGGAAGTAGTGAGATGGCAGGGAGGGGCTGAAACTCCCATTACCCTACACCAGAGTGTTTTTAGAAGGCAATATAATAGGATGGACATGAATGACCAGGCCTTGCTGGCTAAGAAGCTGGGAAAATGCTTTAGCCAATGAAAGCGACAGCATGATGTGTGGGACAGGGCGTTGTGGCTACACGGTGGGGTACACTGAGTCCTACTGAGCTCTGAGGCTCAGCTCTCAGTCCCTGTGGAGGTAATTTGGTGTCGTCCTCTGTCCAAAGAGTGAAGAACAATGCGATGACAGTGGGGAAGCTGTCTCCTCTTTAGGGAAAGGTGTTTCCAGAACTTTCTCTCCTAAAGCTCTGTGAACCTCTTCCTTGGCATCTCCCAGGAGGCACTAAAAGCAAAGGAGTTCTTTTGTGCCCCTTTGAGGTGCTAGATGTGGTCAGACTCACCACCCTGGCCTGGCTCTTGAAGAGGGTGGCCCCTCTCAGCTGCAGGGGTTCCTGAGGGAGGGAGAAGGGAACAGGGAGGTGCTGACAGGGGCCGAGCCAAGCAGATGCAAGGCACTTTGCAAAGGGTGTCACAGCATCCGGGAGAAAGCAGTCTCCATGTGGCTGAGATTGGCTGAAAGCGTGGACATGAAGAATGGAAAATGATAGTGCTAGGATAAGAGTGGTTGCCTAGAATGCCCGAGGCCCTGGGTTCAAGCCCCAGCACGGCAAGAAAAAAAAAAAAAAAGACAGGAGAGGAATTTGAATTATAAATTATTTTTCCAAAAAAGGATTTTAGCTGTTAAGCCCTCATGGGTCAGTCTGTAAAACTGAAAAACACTAGTTTTGGGTCACAAGAAATTGTTTAAGTTAATGGTGCTGTCATTTTTTTTTTCTTACAGATCTGGTTCCCATCAAAGGATCTCACTTGTCACCCAAATAAAGCAAAAAAAAAAAAAATCCTTCCTTCCTTCCTTCCTTCCTTCCTTCCTTCCTTCTTTTCTCTTCCGTTCTTTCTTCAGAACTTCCTTCCTTCCTTTTTTTTTCTTTCTTTCCTTTCTACCTAAGCTAGCATTGAACTTGCAATCTTTTTGGGATTATAGGCACACGCACCAGGCCCAGCTAGTATCCCTTTTCTTTAGTGTGTTTTACTCAGGAACACAGCAGTTGGACCTGGCAAATGGGCAGGGAGGTAAGTGCAGGGGTCTTGGGAACTTTTTGAGCCACAGGTAACCCAGAGTGGAAGCCTGTCATTCCTATTCTGGGCCACAGACCCATGTGGAACCACTCACACTCAACATCACGGGGAACCACGCTACACGCTCAACAGGACAAAGCTTTAGATTTTCCAACTCTGAAAGCAGGCTAATTCAATACCTAACAAAACTACTCAACCGGACTTTGGGCCAGTGGTCATCCCAGGTAGCAGGAGCAGGAGGAATATGCTGGCTGTGAGACCTGCACATCAGAGGGCAGCAGCCCTGGACCCCGCAACACCGTGTGTCTAGGAAATGGCCTCTCTTACAAGGCGA